GACCATCAGTACCACACAATCCACCACACCATCCACCTGATCGACGAACACGCACAAAGGAGACTTCAACATGAAATTCTTCACAGCCAGCGCTGGATTGGTGAGTACAACCCGGGGTTCCTAAGGCTGATTTATTAAGTTGAATGTCTCAGGTGCCTTTTCAAAATCTATTTTTTTCCCCTGGCTAGTGGGAAACTATGAAAAACAATAATGTCATTAACGAGAATGGCTTGGATCCTACGCAGCACGCACAGAGTTAGGTTGCAGAAATGGCTTCCCCCCTCTTCCACTGTGGTCTTTGACCCCCAGAATTGTGTCCCCCCATTGGGCCCACAGGGATACTATGGGGACTGAAGTGGGGGCTGCAGTGAGAGGGGGGAGGATTGGTAAAAATCGCCCCCTCTCTCTTCTGTGAGCGGAAGTGACTAGGGCAAACAGGAAATAAATAGCACGAACAGAAAGGAAGGCTGGGATTCATTAAGAATAATGAATTACTGACAGCATCAAAAACCTTAATAGCACAGTTATGGAAAACCAATAAGGCCCCATCCATTAAACAATGGTTTATGAAACTTTGGGACATAGCTGTAATGGATAAATTGGCATCACAGATTGTAATGACTGAAACGGCCTCTAAAAAGAATATTTTTTAGGAAAAATGTTTTCCCTTTTTTGTATTCATCAATGACCCAAAACAAAAGCTGGAGCCTACCCCATTTTATTAAAAATGGAAAGTACAAATTTATTTATGATTTATTTTTATTAGGAAAAAGCATATCGTGTACGATTTTTGTATAATGGTATGATATAATATTGTAGAAATTGTTTCATTTTTTGTTTATGTTAAAAGTTAGAATTTAATAAAAATTTATGCCAAAAAAAAAGAATAATGAACTACACATAAAAACAGATATTAATCAAGAATAATATGGGAAGCCAGGTATAATAACGCCTAAATATTGCCTTTATCAGTTGTCTTCTGAACTTTGATTAACTCTAATAACTTTGTAATGCGTCTTTGGGCAAAAAATATATATACATTCCTAATTCAAATTGGTTCACACCCTTTCTTCTTTCTAGGGTTACTAATTTTATACATACATACATGTATGTTTTTGTTAATGACAAAGAGGCGAGAACTGGGATATCATATATCCATTATTTTGCCATTAACAAAAACCTCATCTGCACACGTCTGCAGGTGGTAACACTAATCTCTATCTCATGACTTCCGGTGACGGCCTTCTGCTCGAACTCTGATCCACAAGCATGTTTTACTTGTTTTTATTTGGTTTTAAACTGTCTTATTGGTCTTTTAGTGGTTTGGATTGTTAAACCTTTCTAGTCTTGCAGGTTGTTGATCTTTTAAAGTTAGATCCAGCTAGTCAGCCATGTTGGTTTGAAGCAGTAGAACAAATTTCGAGTCCAGTGGCACCTTTAAGACCAACAAAGGTTTATTCAAGGTAAGCTCATACCTTGAATGAACCTTGTTTGATCTTAAAGGTGCCACTGGACTCTAAATTTGGTCTTTTAAGGTGTTTTTCTTGGTTTTATCAGCCTCCAAGCAGCTTGTTTTAACAGCTGAGCTGGGTTGCATTCCAGCTAGGCTTGGCTGCTCTTGTGGAAATTCCTAAATCTCATGATAAGCTGCACCTCAGTTCCCCCCCAAAATGATACAGGTGTGGGTTAGGCCTTTTTTGTGGTTAGTAGCAGTGTTCCCTCTAAGCTGAGTTAATGTGAGCTAGCTCACAGTTTTCTGGCCTCCGGCTCACACCGTTTTGTCTTAGCTCGGGAAGGGATGGCTCCAGAGCAAACTAATTTATGCAGTAGCCAAATTGCTCACTCACAACTTTAATGCCTCCGGCTCATAAAGTAGATTTTTTTGCTCACAAGACTCCGCAGCTTAGAGGGAGCACTGGTTAGCAGGCAATTCTTTCTTCACTTTAGGATACAGTCTTTAAAAATTAGATGCCACACATTAACGTTAAAATAACAAACACATCGGAGGGAGATGCACCATACTATCTATCCCATGAATTGATTATACAAAAGATGCACACGTCTGCAGGTGGTAACACTAATCTCTATCTCATGACTTCCGGTGACGGCCTTCTGCTCGAACTCTGATCCACAAGCATGTTTTACTTGTTTTTATTTGGTTTTAAACTGTTTTATTGGTCTTTTAGTGGTTTGGATTGTTAAACCTTTCTAGTCTTGCAGGTTGTTGATCTTTTAAAGTTAGATCCAGCTAGTCAGCCATGTTGGTTTGAAGCAGTAGAACAAATTTCGAGTCCAGTGGCACCTTTAAGACCAACAAAGGTTTATTCAAGGTAAGCTCATACCTTGAATGAACCTTGTTTGATCTTAAAGGTGCCACTGGACTCTAAATTTGGTCTTTTAAGGTGTTTTTCTTGGTTTTATCAGCCTCCAAGCAGCTTGTTTTAACAGCTGAGCTGGGTTGCATTCCAGCTAGGCTTGGCTGCTCTTGTGGAAATTCCTAAATCTCATGATAAGCTGCACCTCAGTTCCCCCCAAAAATGATACAGGTGTGGGTTGGGCCTTTTTTGTGGTTAGTAGCAGTGTTCCTTCTAAGCTGAGTTAATGTGAGCTAGCTCACAGTTTTCTGGCCTCCGGCTCACACCGTTTTGTCTTAGCTCGGGAAGGGATGGCTCCAGAGCAAACTAATTTATGCAGTAGCCAAATTGCTCACTCACAACTTTAATGCCTCCGGCTCATAAAGTAGATTTTTTTGCTCACAAGACTCCGCAGCTTAGAGGGAGCACTGGTTAGCAGGCAATTCTTTCTTCACTTTAGGATACAGTCTTTAAAAATTAGATGCCACACATTAACGTTAAAATAACAAACACATCGGAGGGAGATGCACCATACTATCTATCCCATGAACTGATTATACAATAGAGACTGTGTGGTGAGGAGTTAGAGTGCTGGACTAGGCGAGGAGAACTGGGTCAACACCACCCCCCGCTACTATGAAGCTCATTGGCTGACTCTGGGCCAATCAGCCTCTCTTAGCCGAGCCTACCTCATAGGGTTGTTGTGAAGAAATATCAGAGAGGAACCACGTATGCCATCCCGAGATCCTCAGAAGAAGGGTGGGATAAAAACGTAGGAGACTGATCATGTGAAAGGCGTATCACAGTATTTTTACAATATGTGACAATTCATGCTTTCTCTACTTGTGTCTTAACAAAAGAAACCCCTCCTTTCCTATGTCTGGAGCAATTAAGAGGAGTAAAAGTAGATTAGAGCTTCAGTAGGTGCGTGCATTAGACTGTGACCACAGTGTTTCATTTTCTTATATTGTTAAAAAGGGTCCCTGACTTATACTTCTTTCCAGGGGTCATTTCGTAGAAAAAGAGGTGCAGGAGCTCATTAGCATAACTCAACAGCATAACTTCTCTGCATATGCCACACCCCCTGACATCACCGGAAGTGTGCCAGAAGGCAACACCCACCGCTCAGGCTCCACTGGACTGTTTTGGATTGCTACCTATTGGGGGGGGAGAACGTGCAGATCTGTCCTCACAGAGGAGGGAGAGCTTGTACCTGAATAAAACTTGGTCTTAAAGGTGCCACTGGACTGTTTTGGATTGTTAGCTATGAAGGCGGGCCAGGGGTGGGGCTCTGCAACTTACCTGGCTGCTTCTTGCTCCTTGTGGCCTGACTGAGGGCTGCTGGGAGCAGGGGTTGGGACTTGTTGCATGTGCCCACCCCCTGGGCTCCTTACCACAGGAGCTCTGCTCCTGCAGGAAATGACCCCTGCTAATTTCATGCCGGTGTACTTTCCAGAAGGGGAAAACAAAACCCAAATCACTAAAATAAACTTCTGTGCGACGATAGTTAAATGATGCCTTGAAAGTGGATTATTTAGTGTGTGGGATCGCAGCCATTATTTAGTATGTATCGGGCATAAAAAAATTGCATCCACACAGGAAAATTTTGTTTCGGAAAACCTGTCTCCATGGAAATTTTCCTGTCCCCACGTCACTGGATGCCACAAGCCATGATGGGCTACTCCGATATATCCAATTCCGAAACTATTTACATGTGTTTCTAGTGCTAAACTATGTTCATGGGTCACTTGTAAGGCAGACTATGGAAGGAAAGCAACGAAACAGCCTGGATCTACCAGAGCATTCAAGAGACGGGGCCCGTTTCTGCCCACAGAGCGTGACTATCTCACCCCCACCCCCCTTGATGAAGTAGCCTATATGCACCCTACCGATGCTCCCTCTAAGCTGTGGAGTCTTGTGAGCAAAAATTCTGCTTTGCGAACTACTGGCATTAAAGCTGTGAACAAGCGATTTGACTACTGCACAAATTAGTCTGCTCTGGAGCCATCCTTCCCAAGCTAAGACAAAAAATGTATGAGCTGGAGGCAGAGGTCATTTCGGGGGGGAACGCGGGGCACCGGGTGAGGTACGGGGGCGGGGCACATGATGAAGCCCCGCCCCTGCTTCCGTCCGCCCCGCTTCCGGCCATCATTCAGCCAGGAGGAGGCAGGAGAAGAGGGAGGGTAAGTTGCTTCCTCCCTGCCTCTCCCCACCCCTGCCTGCCTGGGGCCAGGGAGGGCCTTCGCGGGGCTTCCTTGCACTCCCGCCGGCCTTGCAGGTCCACCGCCGGGTCCCTCATGGGGCTCGGCAGTGGAGCTGCAAGGCCAGCGGTGGCGTCCAGGACCGTTGGGGGCGGGGTGTGTGGCCTTATGATACACTTCCGGTGATGTCAGGGGGTGTGGCATATGCTAATGAGTTATGCTAATGAGTTCCCCGAGCTCTTTTTCTACGAAACGACCACTGGCTGGAGGCTAAAAAACCCTGTAAGCTAGCTCACATTAACTCAGCTTCGAGGGAACACTGCCCCCTTCCCCCCAGTTTAGCGACATCGGAACAGAAAGAGACATCAATACAATACAACACAAAGGAGTTCATTCTAAGGATTTGTTCTGTTTATTTTCCTTGCAGTTCAGACCGATGCTCGCCATGTTGATCCTAGTGTCGCTGCTGAAGAGTTTTGCGGTTGGGAAAACTCTAGTTCCCAATGTGAACAGCAAAACACCAGGTTGCTTGGAACCGGATGAAGAGGGATTCCCTCAAAGCATCAAGATCAATATAAGCATCATCCACACAAACCAGACTAAAAATGTAATGCCTGATGCCAGCAAACGATCAACCTCTCCATGGGACTACAGGTATTATTCCGAATCTATCTTCAGCCCTTCACAGGTGCTCGATTTTGATGCTCTAACCCAGGGCCCGCCAACACAGTGCCCACTGGTACCAGGGCACCCAACAAAAACCTTCCTGGTACCCACCAAATGTTTTTAGAAAGTGGGCAAAGCCAGGTACAGCTTCTGCCTGGCAAGGTTTCTGCTTGGCTGAGTAGATCTTTTTTAAAAAAGTTGCTTTGGCAACAAATGCCACCACAGCACAAGGATCTTCACTATGTGACTGGAGGTAAGCTGTGGCGGCCATTTTGAGGCTGGCTTTGCCTCCAGGGGCAGCCATTTTGTGGCTGGGCCCACTATGCGATATCAGAATTCCGAAGGTGTCTGTTCTTACCCCTGCTCTAACCACTCCTAACTGGAGCATACACAATCCTTATAATAGGTCTGGTCACCATTTTGCGCCTCCAGCATTCTCTGAGGGGCCTGACCAGGCTGATTTCCCCCCCCCCGTTCCCCCGCGCTTCAACTGGTCCCATCATTCTGTAGCCCTGAAGAAAATTCATTTTTTTCCTTAGGCCGAGAGGGTGAGTTCTATCTTCTGGCTCATTTACCGTATGGTATTTTTCTGTATAGAAGAGTACATGTATCCAAATTATAGCACAAAAATTCACAAAGCTGCATTTTTTATTTTTTATTTTTTTAAAGGCTTGGAAGTATTCCCAAAAGTCATATTTCGGAACTGACATTTAAACATCATCAGGATTCCAAAACCTAAAGTCAAAATTCTGAAATGTCGCCAGATTTCAAGTGTACTATATGATTTGATTCCAAAAACTAAAGTATCAATTAAGTCCTATTTAATATGCATTAAAGAAGCTAAACTTGAGTGATATTCTTAGTGTGGACATGCCATATACCATTATTGAACAATTCATGTTGTGTCAAGATAGACTTCGCATTCCTTCCCTCCCCCCGGACTGCCACACTGGTAAGTTGCCCTGCTTGGCAACTCAGTGTCAAGATGTAATCATTGTGTTCAAGCATCTGAGGTATCCCGTTAGCAAATATACAAAACACAACCATGTATTACACCACCTGGCTGTCTTCCCTTGCACCCTCCTCTGGGTCTATGGTTAGGAAAAGTGTGAGTATTTTACACAGCTCATGACCTTTATCCTTTTCACCCGCAGCATTACCGAAGATCCCAACAGGTTCCCCTCCAGGATCGCTGAGGCCACGTGCCGCCATACCGGCTGCATGGATGCCACCGGAAAGGAGAACTACAGCGTGAGCTCTGTCCCCATTCGACAGGAGATCCTGGTGATCCGACGCAAGTACAGGGGCTGTGAGCAAACCTATCAGCTGGAGAAACAATGGGTCACCGTTGGCTGTACGTGTGCCAGACCGCAGTTGATCACTTCTGCATGAAGGGACCGGGAGAACTGAATGGGGACGGAGTTGCTTTAAAAGACCATGAGACACATCACCTTTGTGTCTACAGAGAGCACTCATTTGGGAACTGCCGTCTCCATCAAAGGAGGATGCTTGTCTGGGAACCTCCTCATGTTCTCCAGAATCTTCTAATGCTCCATGACAGGCCTCACGACCGTGGCAGCCATTTTGTGGTGGTGCCCACAATATTATTATTTCCTCTATTCTTAATTATTTGAATTATTAATATTTATTCAATAAAGTATTTTTTTCTCACATCCAAATGGTTTGTTTTTCCTCTCTCTGGCTTTTTTAAAAATAGCTCCAGGGTAAGTTACTAGGAGCCCCAAATACTATACACTTGATCTTAGCCAAAAGGCTGAGAAACAAAATGCAAGATAGTATTAGTGAAATCAAGATATATTTCTGCTAACAGAAGGGACTTCCTCCATATCACTCAGGGTCTCCAAGTGGGGCCTGGAGATCTACCACAATTTATAATAATCTCCAGACCACAGAGAAATGTCGCTTCCAGGCAGTGTTCCCTCTAAGCTGAGTTAGTGTGAGCTACATCACAGTTTTTTATCCTCCGGCTCACATATTTTTGTCTTAGCTCAGGAAGGACGGCTCCAGAGCTAACTAATTTATGCAGAAGCCAAATCACTTGCTCACAAATTTAATGCCAGTAGCTCACAAAGTATAATTTCTGCTCACAAGACTCCACAGCTTAGAGGGAGCATTGCTTCCAGGTGGAGAAAATGGATACTTTGGAGAGTGGGACGAATGGTATTATACCCTGCTGAGGTCCCACAAACCTTCCAGGCTCCACCCCCAAACATCCAGGGATTTCCCAACCTGGAATTGGCAACCATAAATTCTCACTGCAACCACGCTATTCTGAGGAACCGGACACTCACACACCCCACCCTACCCCAGACCAGCATGAGGACTGAGGAAAGAATCAGCAAAAATCCTCCCCTTCCATTAGCGAAAAGTTTTCATGGGATCTGTTTCGATACAACATGTGATTTCAGGATATTCCCTTATACTAGTCTAGTGCGTTAGTTTGAAGACCTTCCCTAAGGTCTCATATTCCAGTAGCCAGTTCCGCTAGTTTACAGTGCTTGCATAAACCTAAGGAGTTTCTCCTTAGATACAACTGTTTGTTCTTCTGGTCTACATAGTGGAACCCAGAAGCATTACAGAACTGAACCCATAAGCAGGGGTCATTTCATAGAAAAAGAGGTGCAGGAGCTCATTAGCATAACTTATTTGCATATGCCACACCCCCTGACATCACTGGAAGTGTGTCAGAAGGCAACACCCACCACTCAGGCTCCACTGGACTGTTTTGGATTGCTAGCTATTGGGGAGGGGCATGCAGATCTGTCCTCACAGAGGAGGGAGAGCTTGTGCCTGATTAAAATTTGGTCTTAAAGGTGCCACTAGACTGTTTTGGCCGGGGGGGGGGGCTTTGCAACTTACCTGGCTGCTTCTTGCTCTGACTGAAAGCTGCTGGGAGAAGGGGGCGGAGCTTGTTGCATGTGCCCGCCCCCTGGGCTCTTTACTGCAGGAGCTCCGCTCCTGTGCGCTCCTGCAGGAAATAACCCCTGCCCATAAGGAATATCAACAGTAATCAGAACACCTTTAAAAATCAACTGAAATGACAATGAGTTGGATCCAGCCAGGTCTCCTTCTCCATCTCAACCAATTCCCTTCCTTACTACAGCCTCCGTCCCACATGCCTTTTGTCCCAGGATCCCCCAGCATAGCTTTTACGGTGGCCAAAGAGGGCCACACCACTCCCGTTTTCAACAGCAGAAGAGCTCCTTAGATCTATCACAACATTCCAGTGCTTCCTGCTCGGTTGAGCAAGCAGCCACATCAAGTAATGTTGTTAAGAGCACTCTTGAACAACTCCAAGTTGTGTTTTTTTTTTTCCTGAACACCAGATCTGGGCCGAAAAAGACCACCTCTGATAGACTACCCCAAGAAGAAGTCAGTCCGCAACACTCAGCAAGAAGGCACAGCGAGGAGACCCAACCAAGAGGAACCCAGGCAGGGGTCGTTTCGTAGAAAAAGAGCTAGGGGAACTCATTAGCATAACTCATTAGCATATGCCACACCCCCTGACATCAGGGGCCCGGCGGTGGACCTGCAAGGCCGGCGGGAGTGCAAGGAAGCCCCGCCAAGGCCCTCCCTGGCCCCAGGCAGGCAAGGGTGGGGAGAGGCGGGGAGGAAGCAACTTACCCTCCCTCTTCTCCTGCCTCCTCCTGGCTGAATGAGGGCCGGAAGCAGGGGGCAGGGCTTCATCGTGTGCCCCGCCCCCCGCACCTCACCCGGGGGAACTGTGATCCCCCGCGATCCCCCCCTAATCGACCTCTGAACCCAGGGCTTCACAGGACAGGGCTACCAGCTCTGGGCTGGAAAATACCTGGAGATTTTGGGGGGTGGAGCCTGAGGAGGGCGGGGTTTGGGGAGGGGAGGGGCTTCAATGGAGTACAAGGCCATAGAGTCCACCTTCCAAAGTGGCCGTTTTCTCCAGGTGAGCTGATCTCTGTCAGCTGGAGATCAGCTGTGAACCCACCTCTCCAGCCCACTACCAGGAATTTGGCAACAGGATCATACTGGAAGAAAGGGTGTGCAGCCCCCGGATCATGGGTTAAAACCAGCAACTTGAGCTGACCCTGAAAACAACTGTTTAGACTAAACCATATATATATAAAAAATACAAATATTTATTAAGTTCGAAAGCAAGAAATTGCAAGTAGATAAATAGGTACCGCTTCGGTGGGAAGGTAACAGCGTTCCGTGCGCCTTGGTGTTTAGTCATGCCGGCCACATGACCACGGAAACATCTTCGGACAGCGCTGGCTCTTCGGCTTTGAAACGGAGATGAGCACCGCAACCCTAGAGTCGGATTCGACTGGCTTTCGAGCAAGGGAACCTTTACCTTTACCTTTACACA